CTTGCCCCCGAGGGCATGTGCAGTGAAGCAGACCTCACACTCAGGCACATGGGTACAACTAAACTACTACAAAGGAAGGTAAAACAGCAAGAGGAAGAAGTGCAGTCTGTACCACAAGAAAGCAGCACTATTGCTAAAGAACCTGGAGGATATGATTGCAGAAGCGGGAGGAAGAAGACTACAGGCAGAGGAGTAAGTCATCAGTTCAAAAGGTCTGGCATAGAATCTCCATTCTCCAGCAGAGGGCAGATGGCGATGACAACTAGACAACTATCAGCAAATTAGACCACCAGCTGACAGGGCAGGAGGTCATGGAGAAGCAACTGGAATAACACACAGTGACCTACACAGCCTGCAAAGTCCCTCATCAAGAGCTTCTGAGTAAACTTAGCAGTCAGATGGGTCCTCTCACGGAGAGTTAAACAACAGGAAGTAGAGAGGACAAGTAAATGGACAGTTCTTGCAAAGGATGGAAGTACGCATTGGTCTTCTGCAGGCATCAGTAGGGGGACAGGTGCTATGTAATTTAGTCATATATGATCTGGAATTGGGGGAGAGTAGGAAAGTGGCCAGTTTGGCAGATGACCCAGTTATTCATGATGCTGAGGACTAAAGGAGATTGTAAAGGGCTGAACACATAAAGCTGCCTTGTATTGAATCAGACCATTGGTCCATTAGGGTCAGTACTGTCTGCTCAGATGGGCAGTGACTCTCCAGCATCTCAGGCAGAGGTCTTTCACATCACCTGCCACCTCCTAAAGAATCACTCTAAATGGAGTAATTTGACAACAGGGTGCCAAATTAATTTCAAGGTGTAAATGCATAAAGCAATGTACACTGGGACAAAAAGATCCTACCTTTAAATATACGCTGAAAGGGGTCTGAACTGGTAGTGACTGAGCAGGAAAGAAATCATGGTGGGTAGCTTGATGAAAATGTCAGTATTTTGCAGCAGTGGAAAAGTCAAATTAGATGCTACAGATTGATAGGAAAGGGAATAAAAACAAAATAGCTAGTATTATGGTGCCCTTTTTTAGATCTATGGTACGGATGCATTTGGAATATGGTGTACAGCAGAATCTCAAAAATTATATTGTCATTCTAGAAAAGGTGCAGAGAAGGACAAGGAAAGCCAAAGGAGCTGAGGGCGTTTTTATTTTAAAGAAAAGATGACTAAGGGGAGGGGACATGATATTTGTAAAATTATGCTTGGGGTAGAGAAAGTGGATAGAGAGAACTTTTTCTCTTTCTCCCCTAACAGAATATGTAGGCACTTTGTGCAGATTCAGCACCAACCAAGGGAAGCACTTACTTACTCATACAGCATATCATTTCTGGAATTCACTCCACAGAATATAGTCACAGAGTCACTAGTTTAGTTAGCTTTAGAAGGGGAGACAACAAATTCATAAAAGATATGTCCATCTGTGACTATTGGGCTCTTAAGCTGAGATAGGATGTTCAATTTTAAAATGATATGAGAGACCTGTGCAAAGGAAAGTGGCCTCATTTGGAAGTCCCATAAATCAATGGTTCTGGATGCTTGAGATAGGTGGGGAAATATGACTATCTTTGAGTCAGAATCACAAAAAAACCTCACAGTCTTAGGCCTCCTTGAAGATCCAGTAAAGGATCTCCACAGGTACTGACTGATTCAGGGTGGAAGCTTATTAATGTGACTAATGAAATATGCAGACGATACCACTCTAATGGCAGAAAGTGAAGAGGATCTTAAGAGCCTCTTGCTCAGAGTAAAAGAGGAGAGCGCAAAAGTGGGCTTGAAGCTCAACATAAAAAAAACTAAGATCATGGCATCCGGCCCCATCACTCCTTGGCAAATAGAAGGGGAAGTCGAGGAAGTAGTGACAGACTTCACGTTCCTGGGATCCCAGATCACCGCAGACTGTGACAGCAGCCATGAAATTAAAAGACGCCTGCTCCTTGGGAGGAAAGCGATGGCGAACCTAAACAGCATGATAAAAAGTAGAGACATCACCCTGCCAACAAAAGTCCGCATGGTCAAAGCAATGGTATTCCCAGTAGTCATGTATGGCTGCGAGAGTTGAACTATAAGGAAGGCCGAGCGCCGAAGAATAGATTCTTTTGAACTATGGTGCTGGAGAAGACTCTGGAGAGTCCCTTGGACTGCAAGAAGATTAAATCAGTCAATCCTAAAAGAAACCAACCCTGACTGTTCCCTGGAAGACCAGATAATGAAACTGAAGCTCAAATACTTTGGCCACCCAATGAGAAGGGAGCACTCACTGGAGAAGACCCTGATGCTGGGAAAGACTGAAGGTCAAAGAAGACGGGGACGGCAAAGGATGAGATGGTTAGACAGTGTCATAGATGCAACGACCATGAAATTGAGCAAACTTCAGAGGACGGTGGAAGACCGGAAGGCCTGGCGTGATCTGGTCCATGGGGTCACGAAGAGTCGGACTCGACTGTGCGACTAAATAACAAACAAATGAAATCATGTATGTAATGGCAATGCAAAAAATGAGTTCTCAAACATCCTTGGGAAAGGGCACATTTGAACTGAATACATGAGAACATATATTATGGATAAATGGAAGAAGACAGTGATGTCTACCCCTGAGACATTATTGCGAAACTTATTGCGAAAGTGCAAGGGGGAAAAACAATTGGAGACAGCTGCAGGGAGAAAAGATGCTGAGGGGAAAAGAAACCTGTTGAGCAAGAATTCTGAAAGACCCAGAGCAGCAGAAGTGATTGACTGAAAGGAACTTCGTGTTATAAAGATAACTGACAATTGTTGTCACACAGACAACAGTAGTCCAGGGCTGGGTTCATTTGTGTTTTTATTTATTGTTATAATTTTTAATTAATTAGTTGTGCTATGTACTTAAATCCATAGTGTAAATAAGTTGAATTAAATAAAAGAAGATAAGGTGATAGGTAATTACTTTGGAATATAAGTCTAAGAATCTTTATATTTTGGGTTGAAAAGTAGATTGATAGTTTATGAGAAATATGCGTTGAGTTATAGTGGAAAATACATAAGATATGAAGAAATATTTTAAAGTTAAGTTTGACTGTTGCAATGATGTTGAAAAATGTATTTTTTGGTTGGGTATTTGTTTGTTTGTTTATCTGTGTTTATGTCTTTAAAATTCAATAAAGAAAGTATTAAAAAAAAGTATTGTCAAATCCATTAGACTAAGAGTTATCGCCAGTCTCCCTCTTCTTAGCCAAGGGCTTTGGATCTTATTTCTGCAGTTTTCAAAACAGCAAAGTTAAAAGACTAAGAGTAATATTATTGGACTGAGACTTTTCTTCCATAGTCTCATGCCTGTTGACCAGCTGGTGTGCCACAGGTTTAGATATATCCCCTTCACATTTTGTTTGCTTATCAGAGGGAACACTCTAAATGTAGCAAGCGGCCCTGCTGCTGTGTAATTTAATTGGCAAAATCTTTTGTAATTTGCAGCCCGGTTACTATCGTGCACCAGGTCACACATGTCACACCCATTCTGCAGAAACTTCATTGGTTACCAATTACTTACTGAGTTCAAGGTTCTGGTTACCACCCTCAAAGCCCTGAATAGCCTTGGACTCACATACCCCCAGGATCGCCTCTGCTGTGACAGCTTCACTCATTTGAGCAAAGCCTTCTAAAGGTGCTAGACTGCAAGGGGGTGAGCTGCTGTCCACTCATGTGTGCATTCCAAGTGGTGGTTCCCACCTCGTGGAACGGCCTGAGGTCAAGAAGGATCCCACACGTCTGTCATCCTGCAGCATAATGTTTAAGAGGGCATTTAAAAAAGATTAGAACTGTAATACCATGAACAGCCCTTGAGGGCACCTTTACAATAGAATAGCTCAGTGCAGTAATTATTGTGGCTATCACCAGCTTTTACTGCATTGCCTTTACCTTGTAATCCACTTTCTGTATGGTTATGGTAGACATTAGTTTGTTGTTCACACTTGTCTCTAATTCAGTAATCCTAGTCCTATTGTTCACTGGCTGTTTTATACTGACTGCACTGTTTTATTTTGTGTACTCTGACTTGAGTCTAAGCAAGAAAGGCAGATTATAAATATATGAATACTCTAGGGTTACCAGGTCCCATATGGCCACAGATGGCAGATGCAGGAGGTAGAGTTGCCAGATCCAGGTTGGGAAACTTCTGAAGATTTGGGGAAGGAGTCTGGGGAAGACAGGGACCTCAGTGGGGTACAATGCCATACAGGCCACCCTCCAAAGCATCCGTTTTCTCCAGGGGAACTGACCTCTATAGTCTGTAGACAAGCTACAATTCTGGGGGGTCCCCAGGTCCCACCTGGAGGCTGACATCCCTAACCAGGGCACTGGAAGACAATTCTGTTCTTGAGTCCGATTTAAGACAACTAATCTCTCTTTCACCTTTTTATTCTTCCTAAAATGCATTTATTTTTGAAAATTGGTGGGCGTGGGGGGGGGCATAAGGGATCCTCGCCTACGGTGAAAAATAAGCTGGGGCCGGCCCTGGGCACGGCCAAGTGGCTCTAAAACACCAGCAATAAACCGATAGACAGGGCTGCTACAGTAAAAATTCTGAGGAAATACATTTTTAGTAAGGCATCGGGAACATGAGGAAAGCAATGGTGGCGGCTGAGGAGCAACACCTATTCCCCTTGTATAGCAAGCCAGCTTTCTCTAGCTTGAAAACGGGAGAACTCTGCCTGTGGGATCTCAGCCTGTCCTGATGCAGGCGTTCAAAGCCAAGCAAGGAGCCCTGGCCTGCCATGAGGGGGAGAAGCCGGCAAACCGGGCGAGACTCTCTCTCTCTCTCCGTCTCGGCCGCAGGGCTCTATGACCTGCTTGAGGGCGACCTGCCCAGCCCTCTCGCCCGGTCCGGTCGGAGGGGGGGCTGGGGCTGGGCCAGAGGCATTGCTTTGCTAGGAGCAAGGGTGGCTCCCGGGGGAGGCTGAGCACCTTCCTGAAAATTTCGGCGGGGGCGGGGGGCGCCCCCCCCCCCCCCACCGACCTTCTGCGCTTGAGCTCCGCCTCTGAGCCTCGGCGGGGCGGGGGCACGGCCAGCCCGGCACCATGTGCTGGAGGCGCCAGACGCAGGCGGACTGAGTGACCGACTCGACCCGCGGCTTCCTCTTCTCCTCCGCTTCCGAGGAAGAGCCAGCCCGGCCTGATGGCCACCGAGGTGGCGGCGGCGGCGGCGGGGCCCGGCGCCCGGTTGCCCTCGTCCCCGGCTCGGAGGGATTTCTACTGGCTCCGCTCTTTCATCGCGGGAGGTGAGCGGAGAGCCAGCTGCCCCCCTCCCGCTTCTGGTCTCGGAAGGGCGTGTGTGTGTGTGGGGGGGTGGTGGTGGGCGAGGCAGCGTCACACAGGGAAGAGGGGGGGGGGCTTGCCGCTTGTGTTGCGTCTCCTGGGGCTGGGCGAGGGGTGCCCTCGTGTTGTGAGTGCGGCCGGGCCACAAAAAAGGGAGGGCCAGGTCGTGTTCAGCGCCCCCCCCGCCTTGTAGAATCCCCACGATATGCCCAGTTCGTATCTGAGACCCGCACCGAAAGAAGCGATTTTGACCCGGTTTGGCTCGCTCAGTCGTAGGAACACGCCTTGTTTTGGACGGTGGGTCAGGGTTTAGCCGACGCTGAAGCAAGCAAGCCTGGCTGGCTCCTAGGAGTGAGCCCTTGGGGGTCGCTTCACTGGTCTCGGAGTCCGAATAAGGGCACACCCCAAAAGTCACTGCGGTGCACTCCGTTGCCCATTCGGTCTCTCTCTCTCTCCCCCTCCCCATTTTGGCACGTCTCGATTGACTGCAGGCGGAGCGTTCCAAGTAGTGTCCCATTGTTAAGCAGGCTTTGAGAAGCGTTGTGACGGGCGCTCTTTCATTTCTTAGGCGTTGAGTGCAAGCCTCCCCAGTCCTAGTCTAGCACTCTGTTTACGCAAGGCTGGTATTGTTGACTCCTTATTGTTGTCATTACTCAGGTAATAGTGAGAGGTATGAAGATAAAACGTCACTGAGGTGATGTGGAAAGGAAGTTCAAATGCTATTTAAATGCCAGTAAGTGTAATGACAGAAGGAAATGACCTAATATTATATCTGAAATTGTTTGCCTGTTTATATGCACTGTAGTTATAGTCCAATACATAATATAATTTGTGGTGTTGGGTGTTATATATGTATACTCCATAGGGCTTAGAACCTTTGTGATTTGGCAGTTAATATTGGTGGGTAGCCTTTGTACACTAAGTTTTGTTGTAGCAGAAGAAGATCATCAGTGAGGTCTCTCTTAGGAGTACTGACTCTTTAGCAATACTATTCTAAAGAGGTCTACTCAGAATCCTACACAGTTCTGTTCAGTGGGGCTTATTCCCAGGAAACTGTTTTTAGGACTGCACTGTAGGTGAATGATCTGGAATAACTGAAGTTGGTAATCCTTGCTAAAAAGTAATGGGAAGTAACAGATAGTGGTCCTGCACAGATTCCAAAAGATTCTTTGTTCTTACATGACCAGGCACTTTAGATTTTTCTCTCTGTGGAAGAACAATTTGGAAATGAGGCAGTCCCTTGAAATTACAGGAAGACACACATTCTGACCTACCACCCACTTAAGTGTGGCCCATCCAGGTCAGCGTATGAGCTGTTAATAGTAGGCAACCTACATGTTAATATGTCAAAGAACCTGAGCAGGACACAGACCTTGAGTCATTCACATGCATCATGAACTAAAAATCTTTATGAACTGTGATGCTTGGGCTCGAAGAGGGCCTGAATTTTGTGCATGGCAAAAGTATGTATTTTTGGTCCCAGAGTGTGTTCTCAAAGATTGAGTAATAACAAGGCTGCTTTGCCACTGAGGGACAGGGAATCATGCTTACTAGGTGTGCAATGACCTTTGAAAAGATAATGTTTTAAAAATAACTTTTGCTGAATGTTTGACATGGCTGTGGCCTCTGGCAGTTACTAAACAGACTCCTTTTTTGCCTGTTTCAAAGGTGTTGCAGGATGTTGTGCCAAATCAACCATTGCACCATTGGATCGAGTCAAGATTTTATTGCAAGCTCATAACCATCATTATAAACATCTAGGTAAGATGATTCTGTGTATGTTTGTTGATTGTATTGGAATTTGTATTATTTGCAAAGGAAGTAGATACAGTTTTCAAACATACAGTTCTTAACACAGCAAAGGCTCACTGGTTTTTAGACTGTTGTGTTTTCAAGTAATGGTTCAGACTCTAAATTTGTGTTGTGTCCCCCCCCCTTAGGTTTAAATATATACAAGAGGCTGATTTTCCTTTAAAAAACCTTTAAAAAATATTTTGGGGCTCTCGTCTGTCTGGTACAAATTGGGGACTTTCACTGGGATGAACTGGAATTGAGGAAATGCAAAAAATGGTTTTTCATGAGTCAAGTTCATTGTAACAGACTAATGCAGATATAATTCTGGCTCCCTCCTAACTACAGTAAAAAAAACCAAAACCCCAAAACAGGGGGCCAGTCTTGGGATTCTGTCCCCTTGGAAAATTATTTCCCTTAAATTAGTTAGCTAACAGTGCATTCCTAAACAGAGTTACACCCTTCTGAGCCCATCAGCATAAATGAATTTACAAGGATTTAACTCTGTTTAGAATTGCAGAGTTAGTTAAGTAGTTTTTCACACATTAGCCATGATTAAGGCAAGTAGAGTTGTCCTTAATCTCATATGTGAAACTTTGGGGGCAACTTTAATCATGGTTAATATTGATACCATTTAGTTATTTAACTGAGATTGCAGGAAAATGTCATATGGAGGATAAGGGTGTAAGTGGATAGTTCCAAACCAGGGATAGCAGTACTGTACTGTACCAGTCCAGTGGGGCTTATGCTAGTGATGTTTTTGTGGGTAATGTGCATTGTGAGTATAAGCTCTACTCGGGCATCCAAACGCACATATGTGTAGAAAGGATTGTATGCACTGATCCTGCTGTTGGATTCCTGTTCTTACAGTTGAAAATCTGCAGCAAGCCCTGTATCTGTACAATTGTACACACAATTGGGATGCTGCTTTTTTGCAGTGTTGCTGATTTTGTGTACAAAACTCACATGCGTAGGCAGGGTTTGCTGTGGACATTTGGCTGTGCACAGATAGCCAGTGATGGTCAGCGAGTACAATCCTGCTCTCTTCTCTGTGTATAAAGCCATGCGTGCTGTGAATACTTGAACAGGGCTATATGCAACATAGAAAGTTGAAGCTTGCAGTTTTTCAGTTGAAATCAAAGTTCCAAACCTCATAGTAGAGCATTTAGTATCTCCTAAAACTATTTTCTTTCATCAACATTTAGATTGTAATCCTCAAAGTACTTTATTTCAAAGTAGTTTGGCAAAATTAACTTTGTTTGGATGGAGTATGTTAGTGCCTGTTTTTTAAAGAATCGAAAGTTGAAGATATTTAGTTATTTTATTAAAATATTTATATACGACATTTCCTCATGGCTTAAGGTGGGTTATGAATGATGTAGGCTCCCTGCCCCTCCACTTCAAATTTCCCATGCCCTATCCTGCACTGAAAGTGAAGTTATTAAAAGTACATTTGGATAGTCTTCTAATTTTATATGTTAACCTAGATTCAGGTGGGTAGTTGTGTTGGTTTGAAGCAGCAGAACAAAGTTTGAGTCCAGTGGCACCTTTTAAGACCAATAAAATTTTATTCAGGGTATAAACTTCCATGTGTATGCACACGAAAGCTTATACCTTGAATAAAACTTTGTGGGTCTTAAAGGTGCCACTGGACTCAAACTTTTATTCATATGTTAACCTAGTGAACAAATAAAATTATATTAATTAGCATATTTATGGAATTCTAAAGTATAAATTCTTCAGTTTTCTACACGTAGACTTGAGTTGCAACCACTACTAAGTGAAAGAGAGCTGTGAACTGCTGTGCCCTATGCAATTCTAGCACATTTTCACTTATTCCAAAAGGGGAAAAGATTTCTTAGGAGTTGTTTCAGTGCTCCCCCAAATTTCCTAACTTTTCCACGCTTTACATTTTGAGTGTAACATCATGCAGTGCTAAGCAGAATTATGCCTTTCTAATAATGCCTATGTAAGAATGCTTTCCTAGGAGTAAGCCCCACTGAATAGGATTGAATAGGATTCTTAGTACAATAAATTGCTCTCTAAATTAATTGACTTCAGTGGACTTTAAAGGGTGTAACATTACTTAGTAGTGCACTATAAAACCTAGCCTTAAAAACACTCCAGTAATAAAATAACTATGTCATAGGAGTTTTTTTAAGTGTTCCCCAAAATTTCCATTGGAAAAATTAAACCAAAAAACCTTCATACTTTCATGTTATACATTTTGAGTGAATAAAACCTTGTCTTAAATAGCGTGCGACTCATCTCAAAGAAAAATATTTCATAGGAAGTTTTTTCCCTAGTGCTTCCCAAAATTTGCCAATTTTTCAATCAGAAAAATGTTAAATCTTTTTTTTGAAACCCCCAAGAGGGTAATTTTATTCGTTTTTCAATAGACTACATAACTACAACAGAAAATATAGGAAGGGGGACTACCAGGAACCGAGCACTGACACCCGAAAGACCGCCCAGGAAGAACAACCAAGAAAAACAGCGAGCCCTGCCACCTGGGTGCCGGAAGGCAGCCCCAACCCCTGTAGAGACATGTGGCCTTAGCCAGGGATAAATTCGGAACTTGTAAGCCGCTCAGAGACCCTTCGGGGTTGGAGCGGGGTAGAAATCGAAGATATAAATAAATATAAATAAATAAATAAAAAGAAAAGATACCCACACTAACTAAAAACCCAAGAGTAGGAGATCATTTCTCTGTTAAACTACATGTTAG